ACATTTTTGGTTTGTTATGCTGGTATGCAATTTAGTTCTGATTTACTTAAAGTATTACTAAACCCACAACAGTAAAATCAGTCTGTATATGCAGTAAAGCATGTTTGTTATACTCACTGTGGAACCTAAAGGGTTAATAATCTGCATCATGTAAAAAGGCTGTTTTATCCTCTCTTCTCTGCCCCTCCTCTTGTTGAAATGACTACCTGATACAGACTGAGCCCTTCTGCACATGCTCAGTTTGGTGTGTATTGCTAGAGAGGTTTTTTTTTTTTTCTTCTTGGGAGAGTGCATGTGATTAGCACAGGGCAGTCAGCACTGTCCAGACAGAGGTCATGAGATTTGCATCCTCCTAGAGCAGAAAGAAAACTCCTACAAGCTTTAGGTAGTGGTGGGCCGGACACAGATATAAGTCACAAGACTGCTGTAACTGCTGATTAGAAAAGGTATTCAGCAATTTATATTTACTAAAATAATTGCACTTCCATGTTCTGTGTACTGTGGGACACCAGATACAGTGAATGCAGGGTCCTGGGTTTAGTAACACTTTAAAAAAAGCTCTTTAACATTTGTCTGTGTTTCTGTTGGAAACATTACCTCCAATGTCCTGTCCTGTGGACAACTTTTTTACCAGATGGAGAAGAAAATGGATCTCTCCAGTTGAGTCTCTGATAGCCTTAACGCAAATGAATTTGATAGTATGGTTCAATAGATTTTATTTCCATAAAACTGTTTATTTAGGTCACAGCAAGAAAATACAATGTCATACAGAATATAATAACATGACCAATCGTATATAGTAGAGATTCCGAACAGTATTCATAATAGGCACATATAGTTACACAGCCTTTAAAGGACCCACGTCATTCAGTGTCCTAAGATGCTCACCTCCCTCACTATGCTATCATCCTTGAAATATCAGATCTGAGTGGCAAGGCAATCTACATGGAACCAAATGAGAAAGGTAGATAATTCAAAGTATCATATGGCCAGAAAGAACTGAAGTTAACAAAGAGCAAAAAGAGTAGGGGAAAGAAGAGAAGATAAAGGACAGATCGGGAGAGAGAAAAAGAAGAGATAAAAAAGGGGGGGGGGGTGTATGGGGAAGAGGAAAGGGATAGGTCAACTCCAGTCCCCCCTCCATCTCCCCAAGGTGGTAGAGTAGAGGATACCTTCCCTGGTCCCAACACTCATTCAACAGGCAGAGTGGATCATGGAATATTTTAAAGCACCATGAGTAAGCCGTATTGCACCACAACTCCCCAATGAAGTGTATATTTTATATTGTGGTGTGGTTTTGAAGTGTGTCCAACAGGACTAAGTAGACACAAATTTGGTAAGGCAGTCTTGTGTGCAATGTGAATGAGTTCTTCCACTTCTTCAATATATACAATCTAGCAAACCATTCCGTGATCACTGGAATGCTTGTAGAATATAAGTGTACTGGTATACAAATTCTGGCTGCATTAACCACAAACATTGCTAAAGATTTGTGATAAGAAGACACAGGCAAGGAGGAGTGATGTAAAAGGTATTGTATTGGTGTGTAATCCAGGTGTAATGTAGTCACTTCATTAATAATCTGGTGGACTTTCTTCCACAATGGTTGAAGTAGTTCACATGACCACCAGACATGCAGCATTGTACCCTCTTCCCACCTCCAGCACACATTTGATATTGAGGGTGTCAATTCATGTAGCAAGGACAGAGTATGATACCATCGGGTTCTAATTTTGTAGCTATTCTCTTGGATAGTTGCATTGAGTGAACTTTTTTTTTCTTTTGATTTTACTTTTATGAGTTTATTAACACTTTATATTTCAAATATTTTTATTTAAAGAATTTTAACAAAACAAGATATGGTACGACAATGCGGTTCACATTAAGTACAGCAAGGTATATATGCAGTAGATTCCCTACCAATTGGCTAGGGACAGCATAAACAGAGGTTTCGCTTACCTGAGAGGTATGCTTGACGTGGTGTGAACCAGGGTTAGGTGAGGTACCGTGTATAAAGTGGGTAAGGGATAGGAGAGGGGAAGGGGGAGGGGGGAAGTGGATAGGGTGGGGGGAAAACTAAACACCAGTCAATTGCAAAGGTTTTTGTACACAGTTGGGGTTCTGTAGCCATCGAGACCATTGGTATTTAAATTTGTGATAAGAGGATTTGTGGAGTGCTGATCTTTTTTCCATCTCACATTGAAAGTTAAGGTCAGTAAGGAGATCTGATAGAGAAGGAGTTTTGGATGATTTCCACAATTTAGCAATTTTGGTTTTGGCAGCTGCAAATTTGTGTATGATGATGGAGCGAGAATCTGCAAGGATATTGGTCGATCCCTATATGTAGGAGTGCGAGAGCTGGGTTTGGTATCATTGGGGTTCTAGTGATTGAAGAGAGCAACTGAAACACTTTGTTCGAGTAGGATTTGAGAGATTTACATGCCCACATTATGTGGAAAATTGAACCTATTTCTCCACATTGTCTCCAACAATTGGGAGAGTGTTGAGAGTAGTATAGAGAGAGTTTAGCCAGAGTTAGGTACCATTGGTGTAAAATTTTCATGTATGATTCCCAGTGGGAACTACATCTGGAAGCTTTATGGGTGATAGTAAAGGTTCTTTCCCATGTGTGAGGTTGTATTGGTAGTGTGAAAGTTGCTTCCCAGTTGGATAGAGAAGTAGTTTTTAGCGTAAACTGGGCGTTAGTTATAAGTGCATAAAAGGTTGAAATTCCTTTCTTAGGGTAATGTGGTTTTTGTAGGAAATTGAGTGTAGTAGTAGGGATTGCCATGGTATGCGGAATATTCAGTTGTTGTAAGGAGTGCGCTATTCACATGTAGGTGTAGGATTCAGTGCTGGGGGGATGAAATTTTTCTTGGAGGGTTGAGAAGGAATCTAATTTATTGTTTGTATAGATGTCTCGAATGTGTGAAATGCCTTGTTTTTCCCATTGTAGTAGATTTAGGGAGGGAATAATGAAGTATAGAGTTGTAATTGGGGTAGGGGTAAATTTGGTGTCCGTTTGGTCAAATGCTAAAAGATCATACCAGGCTTGGAGGGAGGCTCGTATGCAAGGCTGTTTAAGTATAAGTTGGTGTTGAGTGGATTGAGGAAGGAATAAAATTTTATCGGGTGTATGCACAGAATGTGGGAGTGTTTCCATGGTAGTCCATGACTTTTTGGTAGTTGGATGCCACCAGAAATAGATCTGATCTAGCAACGAAGCAGTGTAGTATGATTTTAAATGAGGGAGGCCTGCTCCTCCTCTGTATGTTGGACGTATTAATAGGTTTGTAGTGCATCTGGGCTTTTTCGAGTTCCACATGAATTTGGCAAAGATTGCTTGTAATTTGGAGAAGAATATATTGGGGACTGGGATGGGAAGATTGTGGAATATGTAGAGGATCTTGGGTAAGATACACATTTTTAAAGTCACCACTCTCCCTAGTGTCGATAGAGTTGATGTACGAAGAGTTTTGAGTTCTTGTGGGATCAATCTGAGTAATATTTTATGGTTAGAGGCATATAGTTGGTCGGTTGTAGTGGTGAGTTTGATCCCCAGGTAAGGGATGCTATGGTATTCCCATGAGAAGGGGAAATGTTTGATTAGCAGTTTTTGAGTCTTTTCATTTAGTTTATAATATGAGACTTCTGAGTAGATTTGTAGATGTGTACAAATCGTTTGGAGTGACTTGTAGGGGTTGGTAATCATCAGGATGATATTGTCCGCAAACAGGCTAATTTTGTGTTCTTTTTTGAGGTGTGTAATACCTGTAAATGTTGGGTCATCTCTGAGCTTGGATGCTAGGGGTTTGATGAGTAAAGTAAAGATTATGGGAGACAGGGGGCAGCCTTGTCTAGTTAGTTAGTACTCTAGCTGAGGGGTTGGAGTAAAGGGATAGAATTGCCGATAGCATCCAGCCTGTGATACCAAATTTTTGAAGTGTGAGTTTCATGAATTGCCAATGTATGCGGTCGAATGCTTTTTCAGCATCTAGGGATAGGAGTAAGGAAGGTTGTCTGGAGCTCTCAAGGTTATGTAAAAGTGATATAGGTCGTCTGGTTCTTGTCGACCAGGGATAAATCCCACTTGGTCTGGGTGAATTAACGTAGGGAAGTGAGGAAGTAATCTCTGGGCAATTATTTTAGCGTATAGTTTGATGTCTGTGTTCAATAGCGAAATTGGTCTGTAATTTTGGACCATTTGGGGGTTTTTACCCAGTTTGGGGATGGTTGTGATTATAGATTGTAGCATGTCTTTGGGGAATTGTCCTGTGGAGGTTGCTTGATTGAAGAGAACAGATAGGTGTGGTGCAAGATTAGGGGCAAATATTTTGTATTATTCATTCGTAAATCCATTGTTTCCCAGGAGATTTATTAAGAGGTAAAGATTTTATGTTTGTTTCTATTTCTGCGGGAGATATTGATGCAGATATAGATTCAAGTTGTGTAGGGGTGAGTTGTGGGAGATTAGCGGTTGCTAGGAAGTTAAGGATGGATGTGGTCGCTGGTTGTGTTGTGTCCGGATCATCTTTAACCACTAGGCTACAGGGCACTAATACCCCCTTCCTGCCCAGGCCAATTTCCAGCTTTCAGCGCTGTCACACTTTGAATGACAATTGCTCGGTCATGCAACACTGTACCCATATGAAATTTTTATCATTTTTTTGAGACAGATAGAGAGTTCTTTTGGTGGTATTTAATCACCTCTGGGTGATATTTTTTCTTAAACAAACCAAAAACCACTGAACATTTTGAAAAAAAAAAAGTTTTTTCTTAGCCATTGTTATATAATTTTGTAAATAAGTGATTTTTCTCCTTCACTGATGTGCGCTAATGAGGCTGAAGTGATGGGCACTGATAGGCTGCACTGATGGACACTGATAGGTGGCACTGATGGGCACTGATGAGGAGGCACTGGTAGGTTGCACTGATGGGCATTGACAGGCATCACTGATGGGCACTGAAAGGCAGCACTGATACATGACACTGATATATGGCACTGATAGGCGGCACTGATAGGCAGCACTGACTGGCATTGATAGATGGCACTGACTGGCACTGATAGGCGGCACTGATGCACACTGATAGGCAACACTGACTGGCACTGATAGGTGGCACTGATTGGCAGCACTGATAGGTGGCATTGATAGGTGGCACTGACTGGCACTGATGGGTGACATTGAAAGGCAGCTCAGATGGGCACTGATATGTGGCATTGATGTGCACTGGTATGCACTGATATGTGGCATTGATGTGGCACTAATGGGCACTGGCACGTGGCACTGATGAGCACTTACTGCTGGCACTGATGGACACTGACAGATGGCACTTCTGGGGCCACACTGATCCTCAGGGCACACTGATCAGTGCACATGTCCCCTCCGCGGAAAGCCGATTACTGGTTCTCCTCTCCTCTAGAGCTGTCAGCGTGACAGCTCGAGAGGAGAGAAATGCCAATAACCGGCATTTCCATGTTTACATGTGATGAGCTGTGATTGGACACAGCTGATCACATGACCGAGCCGTCATCTTCGACTTTTTCCGTGATCCGCTGTGTCTGAGGGACACAGCGCACTGGCGATCGCCATGCTGCGCGCTCCCTGAGCCGTGCATGCGCGGTGAGAATGGAAGGACGTCATATGACGTCCTATCAGAATGAGATTAATTAATCTCTTTAATATCATATAGGGATTGGTAATAGTTCGCAAAAGCGTTGTCTATGTCTTGTGGATTTGTGAGCGAGATGCGAGTGGTGGGGTGTTGAATTAGGGTGATTTTGGTTTTGAGCTGTCTTTGTTTAATTATTTTTATGAGGAGTGAGTTTGCTTTGTTACCTAGGGAATAGAATTGTGATTTTGTCTTTTAAAGGTTAAGGTCATATTTGTAGAGTAATAGTAGACAAAGTTTGTTCCTGTCTGTTGTTAGGGATTTAGAAGTAGAAACACTTGGGTTTTTTTGTTAATTTCTTCATTTCAATTTCAATTTCAATTCAATTTATTTTTATGGAGTTTAGGAGTTGGTCAATTTGTTGGGATCATTGTTTATTGATTCAGGAATTTAGTTGTATAAGGATACCTCTCATGTAAGCTTTGTAAGCAGGCCATAAAGTGGTTATAGAAATGTCCGGTGTGTCGTTACAATCGAAAAAGAAATTGTGGGCTTCTAGTAGGTGTTTTTGGTTTTCTGGGTTCTTTAGAATTGTAGAGCTCAGTCTCCAGATGGGAGGGATTGTAGAGTGTTGATTGTCGTCTAAGGTTATGTTGATTGGAGTGTGGTCTGACCAGGTTATGGTTCCTATTTTATATGACAGTACATGTTGTAGTGTCCATTTATCTGTGATGAAAAAGTCAATCCTGGAATAGGACAGTTGAGAAGGGGAGAAGTAGGTGTAGTCTTTCTCGTCACTGTGTTGGCATCTCCAGATATCGTAAAGGTCATTGTCATAAGGAAACGGTTGAAGTTTTGTTTGAGAGATTTTTTGCTGGAAGACGAGTCTAGAAGAGGGTTGCTAATTACGTTGAAGTCTCCACCAATGAGAAGTCTGCCTTGTTTTTGAGCAGAGATAATGGTGTAAAGTTTGTGGTAGAATTGCAACTGATTTTTGTTGGGGCCATAGACATTCACTAGAGTGTAGGGAATGTTGTTTATGTGGCATATTAAAATATGGTATCGGCCTTGCGGGTCAGCTATTTCAGATATATATCGGAACTAAGCAGAGTCTTTTATAGCTGTGATGAGACCGTTTTTTTTTCTTGGAGTTGTAGCCATAAAGATGTGTGAGAATCGGTGTAATTGTAGTTTGGGGGTCTTGGTTGTTGCGAAGTGCATTTCTTGTAAAAAAGAGAATGTTGGCTTGAAACATTCGAGTTTCTTTTTGAAGCATCAATCTCTTGAAGGGCGAGTTTAAGCCACGAACATTGAGTGATGTAATATTAATCATAGTGTATATCCGGGGATTGGTTAGTGAAAAGGTCGAGATGTTGTTTGAGGAGAGCGTGTTCGAATGGTTGAAGTTGTGGAGAGGTAGATTCTGATGTCTAGGAGGTGAGGTCTTGGCTTGATCGATGAGTTAGAGTGAGTATTCCATGATGTTTTATAGATTTCAGGTAAAGAAGTGGTGCAGTTGATTGACTGGTGAGGTCGGTGGAAGAATGGGGGAGGTAGGAAAAAGAGGATAAAAAAAAACTTGCAGAAAACGCAAGTAACTCGAGTAGCAAGAGGAGCTACTTCAAAATTGGGGGTTTGAAGAGTCTTTGACCATAGAAAAGGTCATGCCAAACAATTTTTGGTAACAAAAACATTTTTATTTTTTAAGAACAGGGCCGATCGCCAGAGATTAGTAGAGTAAGGTATATTTCCCGAGGTGAAGCGTTGGAAGTATATAGAAGGAGTGCTAGGTCAGAGTCATTCTGCCTCCATTTACTGGATATTAATAGTGTTGGAGGGTGGAGGATCTGCAGGCAGTATGTTCCATGCCTTTAGTAGCTCCAAGCCTGCTTCAAGGTTTTTGTTTGTGAAAATCATACCGTGTTGTTTAACGGTGATTTTAGTTGGAACCCCCATTGATAGCTTATGCTGTGGTTTTGTAAAGCTTTAGTAATAATATTTTTTTGCGGTTTAGGAGCATGGCTTTTGATAGGTCAGCATAGAGCCGAATATTTGTGTGCGATGGCGGGAGTGAGGGTGGATTTCTGGCTGCCGACATAATTTTTTCTTTGATGTGGTAAAAGTGTATCCATGCCAGGACGTCTCTTGGGACTGATGCTGAGAGAAATGACTGTTTAGGTAGTCGGTGAGCCCTGTCTATGGCTGCTTCCAAATCTGAGAGAGATGGGATGAGGTGTTTCATATATTGTTGCATATACTGTAGTATAATAGCGTTTCATTAGGAACATTTTCAGGTATACCTCTGAATTTGATGTTATTGCGTCGTGATCTATCTTCTAGATCCGCTAGTTTCAGATTTATTTGTTCGATGTCCGATGTGTGTTCAGTATGTGCGTCAATCAGGTCATTATGCGCTGTGATAATTTCTTCCATTCTGGATTCAATATGGTGTAATCTACGCTCCTGTTTTTTGACCACAGACGTAATCTGAACTAGTGACGACTGTATATCGCAATGTAGGGATTGTCTAAGTGATAGTAGCATGTTTTTCATGCATAATTCCCTGAGAGGTTGGTCTGATGCAGGGAATGACTCTATCACAGGCATATCAGCGCTGAAGTGAGGGAGTGGCTGGTTAAGGGCCTGATAGTCAGCTGCGGGGTCTATAGCTAGGCGAGGCTTGGATTTGGCAGGGCTGCGTGTTGCGGGGGGACAGAGGGGGAGAAGACTCACCAGGGTCCCCAGGGTATAGGGAGTACCGCAGCCTGGCATCTGTGGGCTATGTGATCTCCCCCATGGTTGCTGTAATCTCCTGTGCTGCCGCCGGTGCCATCTTGGATTTTGGCTGTGACAGGAGAGAAGAAGTGGGTGAGTTTCCCTGGTGGTCCAGGGGTTTTTCGGCGGCGTGGCATGGATGCTGAGGTGTGCACAACTCTTATTTCCCTACCCGTAGTCATGGTGCGGGTATGAGGCGTGTTAGCTCTGGCGGGTGGACGGAGCGGTGTCTATCACATGTCCATGCAGGAGCCGGCCGCGCATGCGCCCCCTGCATTGAGTGAACTTTTATGAGCAAGCTCATTGATAGTAGACCAGTCATCATTAGGTAACATTAATTGTAATTCTCTTTCCCACGCCGCACGGGAGTAGTCTGATGTAGATTGCGTTTCTGAATGCAATAGAGAGTAGATGATGATAACCATATGGCGTTGAGGATACTCTTTCCTACAGGGAGACTCAAAAAGAGTAAAGGATCTTGTTCACATGTCACACGAGGAGGAGGATAAGAAAAAATGTTTAAGTTGAAAGTATGACCATATCGGGAAGGAACCAGATGTCACAAGGTTATTTAATACTTCAAGACTTAACAGTTTATGTTTAGAGAAAAATTTAAATGCACATATGTCAGTATGTGACCAGATGGATGCCAGGAAAGATTGGGACATTCCTGGTATAAAGAACGGGTTAAGTCATATGGAAGTTAAAGGTCCCAGCAATGAGGAGATTAAGGACTGTCTGCATGCCGTAGAGAAGTTCTGGAGGGTGGGACCTATAAGGGCAGTAAGAGAACAGCTTTGTCTAATCGCCTAATAGGTAGCCAAGATAATGTTGCTAGTGGTGTTGAAATAAGGGCGCCTTCCAATTGCACCCAGGCTTTTAACTTATAATGCACCTTCCAGTCTATGATTCTCATTAAATGACATGCTAGCTAGTATTTTGAAAGGTCAGGAAGTACAATTCCACCTGCACATTTTGATAAAGTAAGAAGGGAGTATTTGATATGCGGATATGAGTTGTTCCAAATGAACTCCGAACAGCTACATTTGAAGACAACAAAGAAAGAAGGAGGCAGCTGAATAGGGATTGCCTGTAGGAGATAAAGGAGGTGCAGGAAGATGTCCATCTTAACAAGAGTTGCACTTCCAAACCAGGAAATCTTAAGCGACTTCCAAGCCTCTAAATCTTTCTGACTGGCTTCTAATACCTTGCTGAAGTTCCGCTGGTAAAGTTCTGATGAGTGAGTGAGGATCTGAATCCCCAGATAAGTAATGGCGTCGGCTTTCCACTGAAAAGGCAAGTTATGTTTACATTAAGAGACTACTGTGTAGGGCAAAGAAACATTGAGAGCATAGGATTTGGAGTGGTTTATTTTAAAATTTGATAGGGTCTGAAATGTAGCTAAGTCTTTAAGGAGATTTGGGTAGGATATATGGGGATCTGAAAGGAAAAGTAATATGTCATCTGCAAAAGCAGCCAATTTATACTCTTTTTCCCTTAGAAAGAGGCCCCTGATATCAGATTTGGCCCATAATCTGTTTAATAACTGTTCCAATGTCAGCACAAAGAGGAGAGGTGAAATGGGACATTCTTGAAGCGTATCACTGGCTAACTGAAAGGCGGTCGACAGGTGTCCATTGACCCTAATCCTCACTGCAGGGGTAGAATAAAGTGCTCAAATGTAGTTGTACATGTACGGGCGAATACCCAATTTTAATAACACTGCTCGCATGTAGTCACAGGCCAGTCAGTCAAAAGCCTTGTGCATCTCCCAAGGCCCTTTGGGCCATTGAACCAGCAAACACAAATGCTCCTGCGCTTAGGGATGGACTCGATGCAGGCTACAACCACATTAAGAATGTCCTGGAACATGCACACCTTGCTGCCCTCAAATGGACCGGGGGAATCCAAATATACTTATGTTCTTTCCCCTTTGGGCCATTCTCAGAGAGAAAATCAGAAAGCATGTCCGCTCTCTATTAAGAGAATGAATAGCTTGTGCCAACATATGTCCACTTTTGTTATCTTTTTCATGAAACACCTTTTGATGAAGAACATAGCGACGCCAGGCTCCCTTTCCTAATTCTTCCAATAAATGAGTGTGTGCTGTAAGTAGTTCCTGGAATGTGTGAAGTGCACAAGGGCACTATGCAAGTGCGCTATGCAAGTGCATAGCTTCTAGGGTTTTAATG